TAGGCCTTTTTATGATCAATTTCACTTGTAGCTTCCTCAAAGAACTCAAGTAGATTCGTTAAACAGGATCTACCTCTCCTAAATCCATGTTGGCTATCCCTCAGAATGCTATTTGCATCCAGGTAATCTACCATTTTCACTTGGATTATAGCTTCCATTATTATTCCACCAATGCTAATTAAACTGATTGGCCTATAGTTTGCTGGATTACTTCTATCCCCTTTTTTGAATATTGGTGTTATATTAGAATGCTTCCAATCTGAAGGTACCACACCCGCATAACAATTTCCGGAATATTAAAGTTAAAGGTTGGCTAATAATATCCCTAATCTCTTTTAAAACTATAGGTAAGATGCCATCAGGGCCCTGCAATTTATTTATTTTGAGTTTAGCTAGGCTTAGCATCACATCAACCTCAGTTATACATATATTGGTCATAGACAACACTGTATTCGTACTAATTGGTGGTAAGTTACTTGTGTTATCTACTGTAAACACCCGTGAAAAATAATCATTAAACTCATTTACTATATCAATTTCATTTTCAATTATAAGGCCCTTACTATCCTGCAAATTAGTGATTTCAGTAATAATAAGTATTGTTGGACATTGTCTATTGTGGCCTTCCCAAGCAGTAGGAAGTGGATTAGGAGAATGATGACAAGCCATTACTGCTTTTTGAAGGTTGGGGTTTGAATGAAGATGTATTTCATATCAATATAAACCAAAGAAACCAGAATGACCAAAAATGGTCGAAATGCTCAAGTCCACCCTCAGTCAATGTTTTGAGCACCTAGTTCACTGGTGCAGTTCATCAAAATAAAACATAACACTGCTCTGGGCACAATGGAAAAGAGTTATCTGTTCTTTTCCCTAGCTTTCCCACACTGTCACCATCTGATTGGTGAATGGATTGTCGTGTTGCCTTTTGCAAACCCTTCTTGATTGCGTATGTTCCTGCGTAGATTGGGCTGTCTCCTGCCTGCATGTCACCAGGGTCGGGTGGGGACTACTCTGAGGTATTGGCTGCCCAACCAGTTTATTTCTCTACAAAACTTGCCTGCTGTCACACGGTGGCCCGTGATGGCAATGCAGAAGAGCATGCAGCCAGGCTGGAAGCGCCAGTTTACAGGCAGCCACAGGCTCCCCACAGAATGCTACAGGCACCTCAACATTTTGGATTGAAAATCCCTCAGCTGCTACACAATGTGGCAACAACCTATACAGTGTGGTCTAGGTTCTAACCCCTCAACCTCTGGAAGCAGCTTCTGGGAGAGAGAGGAAGCAGCAATTACATGTTTCTGGAGAATAAATTCACTGGTTTATTAACAAATATGTCATGATAATAATTATTATTATAATATATATATATACATATATAATCAATGAAGGTCTGTATATTTAACACAAAACGTAAAGGTTCATAGTCTAGACGTCAGTAATCTTAGTTGCCATTAAACTGGTGTTTGCTTTAAATATTGGTAATTAAGAGTTAAAAGTGTTATACCGAGTGGAGTATGAAACAAATTGGATTAAAGTTACTTAAAAAACACTCACCAGAAATTTTGAGTGCCCTTTTCATATTAAAGTGTGTTTGTTTAGGAAAAGAAAAAGAAAGAAGAAAAAGAAAACATGTTTTGTTAGACATTAAGCACAATTTTCTTGTTCGGCTAAAATTAAACAGAAACCACTTCACTTTTAAGAACTGTGACGTGCCCTCCAGTGGAGAGAAGTACACAACGCACTTCTATGGACAGAACCTCATCGTTACAGAAATAATTTTGTAAAGGCTGATGTACGAAAACATTCCAGTTAACCTGATTAACAGACGGACCACGACGCAGAAACATTTAATAATAATATACAAATTGTCACTGTCGAATATTTAGTATATTTTTATAGTATAATTCAAACGTCACTGTAATAAACCTGGATAAAACTATACTATACCTAGATGTGTTACGTCACTTATACATTTCATTAATCGTGAAGAAAACTGGACAACATTTCATCTACTAATACGAAAAAGAAGGAAAAAAACTGAACAACGTAGTGTCATTCCAGCCTCAAATAGTTGCTTTTCTTTCAGTTTTTAGAACGGCATGTTTAACTTTTAAAACGTTTTTAATGTTTCTCGGTAAGTTATTGGAAGACAATGTATTCCAAGATTAACTGTTTATTAATTTTAACAAAACGCTATCATGCCCAGCAGTGTAAGGATGGAACAGAAACCAGCTGAAAATGCATTTATTATCGATAGAGACCATAGCATAGTTGACAACGATCTGTGACCTCCCATGTTAATGACGTTGCCAAAAGGCCAGTTTTTCTTAACTACGACAGTAGTGTCCGTAGCTATTGCTGCCGTCGTTAGGGGTCTGGGGTCTGTCAGTGTCAACCACAGCCTCACACACAGCCCTATTATCTGTGATCTTGCTTTGCAGCTGCGAAGTGGTCCATATACCGCTGACACTGTAACAGCCACGTTACCACCTCAACGGAAGGGAAGCTTTTAACTGTCAGCTCATCTAACGAAAGTGCGTCTTTCCCATAAGCAGCAGAACCTTGGCCCGCTTCATGGGTTCCCTGTGCCAAACCACACACAAGTAGATACGCTATATTCAGCAACGCAGTATGTTGAAAACAGAGTTGAAACGTCAAACATGAACGGATGGCTGATCGCCAGTAATTGTAAATGAGCAGGGCGCTACATGCACCCGTGTGGGGCTACATTCAGTGCATATGCCTGAGTCTCCTGGCTCTAGTGGAAATTCGCTTGTGCCACAGGAGAAGATGACATCAACCTAAATGACAGCCGAAACGAAAGAAGCACACGTGAAAACCGAAGGGAGGTCGTGGTCAAGACGGGAGGGGGGATTTCTGAGCAGAAAAAAAAACCAAAAGGAATGCTAAGATTAATCATATGCATATAAGTCATATGCACGCGCATACATATAAGTAACAGGATTACTGCGAAAAACATTATTACTGCAGGAAGTTAACACCGTCAGTAACATTATCATAGGCGCATAATAGCAACAACATAAGAATCACGCAAGAAGTTTAATAGCTTAATCAGAGCAAACAAAAAACAAAATCACAAAGCAGAGGGACATGTGCAACATCTTTCTGCTTCTCATACGCACCCCTTCAAGAACAACAAATCACTTTAACAAAAAAGCTGAGCATTATTTAGCTAACTTTAATTTTTTATTATTTAGAAATCCTCTTAAACGTCTCAGGGGAAGATTTCAAGGGCGCTCGTGTCATTTTCAGGGAGCTGGACTCCCCTTAGCTACCCGTAACAGCGAGATTTTGCCGGCTTCAAAAACGGTATATTACCACAGATCGGCAATGCACAGTGATTGGTACAGTGATTTTTCTTGCAGATTTCTCCCGAACTTTGAAGGGTGAGGCCGCCTAGATGGGCGGGGTCTCGTTTGGTGGGTGGGGTCTATGTAAAGGGCGGGGCGAGCAGGCGCTCGTTTGGTGGGCGGGGTCAAAGTAATGGGCGGGGGCTCCCTTAGAGCAGACGTTCAAACCAGCGGCTTGTGCGCTGGGTCTGCCTGCTTTTAGCTCTCGTACTTCTGTTAAAGGCTGATTCCTCACCAGATGGGATATATTCCTCCCTTCACAATCGCCTGTGCACCCGGTTTGCACGCTCGGATATAGTGGAAAATGATTTCTGGAACCGGAGAGATGTGCAGACGTCTCTCTCAGGACACGGTTCGCATTTAGAATAACTTTGGCCGCCGGTTCCTCCGCGGTAGCGAGTCTAGATTGCGGTAGCGATGGAGAGGAAAGTTTGCGGGAGCCACTGCAAGAAGAACCAGGCAGACTGGGAAAAGGCGTGCGGCGGGCAGCCATACGCCGCCGGTGTGTGGATCTCCGGTCCCGGCGGCGGTCGGCGATCTACATGCTGCGAGACGCCGATGGAGAGAGAAGAAGGGGAAGAAAAGAGCGAAACTGACGACACGGGTGAAGAGGAAATTCCGGACAGCAAAGAAACGCAGGGATATACAGAGGAGGAGGACAACGAAGACGAAATGGTAAAATGACAGTATAAAAATGTTGCAACAAAGTTTGCTTCGTCAGGTGTAGTGTGCGGGCCAGACAGGTGTGTGTCTATGTGAGCTGTATTTTATGTAGGATTGCAGCAGAAAATATACAAAGGCTAACGACGGATCAGCAAATGAGCAATTAAGTGCCATCGTGACAGATGTGTTCACTTCACTGCTATCACAGACGCTGTAGTATTATGAACGCTTATAATTGTATTCTACAATTATTCTACAATTATAAGCGTGCAGCTTCCCAGGCATTTTCTTGCTTAAGAGTGGCTCTTAAGTTTTTAGTCGTTTATATGGTTGGTGTTTAAGAAGTCCACGTGGTGGAACTAACAGATAAACATTGCTTAACCTGCAAATATTGAGCGAAGATGTACGGTTTTGCGGTTTGGAAGCTGATGACTGTCACATAGGTTAAAAATGAAGCAACACTTGCTGGCCTGCTGTGAATGAAAGTCTAACGTGGGTAGTTATGATTAGTGCTTGAAAGGAGATCAGCTAAACCCAAGCCCAGTAAAATGTTTAATTTCCAAACCATGCGGCAGAGATTGGTTTCGTGCCTTTTCAGGTGAGAATTAATGACACCATGTTTACTACCCATTGATTAAATCAACCCAAAGCCAATTGATTTGAAAGAACCAAACACTCGCTAAAATCATGAAGTGGCTTGAAATGCTTTGTAATAAGTCCTAGTTTTTCCGTTTATGCACAGTCTTTTGAAGCCTTACAACTTAAACACTGAACAACTAGGTCTAACTGTGACCCATCATCAGCACTACATGAGTTGGATTCTGTGCTATATACGGTACTTTAGTTAAGAGAAGCTTGATTATCAGAAAGCGATAACTGCATCTGGAGCAGGACAACCCCCCCCCCCCCAACTTAAGAGCTGAAGCAAAACATGGCGCATTGGTGAAACGTGCCAAGGCGGGTCAGGGGTCTTTGGCTTCCAGCCACCCGTTCTGGTCACAGAATTTAAGTCGCATGGCCCACTTATCTAACCGCATCCTCCTGGTGTGTGTTTAAACGTTTTTTTTTTTTTTATGTACACATTTTGCTATGACCTTTTGCACAAGGGACATTGAGTTCAGGTACGCTGAGTAAAAAAGTTCATGTTATTGCAGTGGTGCACAGTTATTTTTAACATTTCATTTTAAAGTTTGTCTACCTGTCTGTTTTAATCTCTGCTGTGTCAGATGTATGAACACCCATGTACTAGGGAAACTAGTCTATCGGTGGAAGCTGCTACATCCATATCGTTGCTATTGAACACCAGACTGGGGAGGGGGGGTGGTGTTCCACAAAGAAGGATGAAGCTAGAAATCATCGTCCAATAAGAGTTTAGGTAAGGGGCATTCCTATTAGACAATCATGACTTCTAGCTTAAATTAATGCAGCTAACTCTCTTTTTACATTATAAATTTCTCACCCAATGTTTGTACCTGTAATGCATCTGTTGGGGGGTGGGGGATTATACCCAGTAACAGTCTGGTGTAATATACGTGTGTGTGTGTGCCTGCATAGCCTGGTTTTCCCATTTTAATATGTGCACACTAATGGCAATACACTGTTCTTCAGTGTTCCATCTGATATTATACAACAGCTTCTGACTCTGTGGACCTTGGCTTAAGCTGGGCCTGTAAATCCATTTTTTTTCTTTTTTTTTTTTTTTGTCGCAGAGGTCACCACAGAGATGATTTTCATGTAGGATTTAGTTTAATGCTGATCATAGGCTATATTATGGTCTGCATCTTTAACCATTTAGGAAATGCATACTTCAGATGTTTCTCTGGTACTGGGAGAATTCACTGACGGTCATTGAACTAGACCTGATTGTGACCTACGGCAAATCTTACGGTGTTTATACGACCAGCGCGGGGGGGGGGGGGCTACTCAGGAGCCCCCTACTACAGGTGAGAATGCAGCTGTACCGTTTCTGCACCTCGTGGCCATTAGCGATGCTGTTGAAATGTGCATTTCTGCTTCCCTAATTAAGTTCCTGTGGGGATAAATTGCACGTTTGCATGCGCGGCAGAGTAGTGGCTGCCTGCTTCCCTGGCAGAGATGTCCTCTGTTTGGCTTAGCGTGGACGTTGTGAAGCTCTTGCCTGCTTTAGTTTTGAATGGAAAACAGAAAGTTTGACAAAGTATGTCAAACATATTATAACATTTAAAGAAACATTTTGATTACTTTTGTAATGTTAGCAAAATCCTGGCTACGCTGGGTTTGTGATGAATGATGCACAAATTCTGCCCCCTCAGAACCCTTAGCAAAGCAGAGGGTCGATTATTCTACTGTTCTGTGCTGCTACATTATTATCATCGATTACATACTCTGGCTCTATGTTACATGTTGCCCTGTGCTTTGTACACTTTAACTCCTTTCACTTACTGTTTGTATGTCGCATTGTGGTCCTGGGGGAATGTTATTTTGTGCTGCTGTATGCCTGTATATGTGGGGTTTGACAAAAACTGTGTCAACATGAAGTCCCGCCATAGTTGTTGTATCTGATAAATGAAGTAATGAGATTAAGTAACAGTCTTGGGTTACCTTAAGCACATAACTGGATTGTTTGTGCTGGACTTGACTCCATTTAGCCCCCAAAATGTGGCCGTTGGGGTGTTTTATTAAAAGGTGCAGCAAGAGGCCGTATAAAAGGAAAATTACGTGTTTTTGGGTAGAAGAGATTGATCCGTAATCAGGGTGCATAGACAAGGGAGCTGTTTGGAGATGGTGAAGTACTCCTCTGAAGTGCAGCTGCAGACGTCCACAGAGATTTTGTTAAGTATCCGGAAGCTTTAGCTGAGTAACAGGGAAATGCTGTATGCGGCTTTGCATTACGTTTATCGAGCAGCCGCTTTTGTTGAAGTTCTGGATTTTTATAGTTGCTTAAACCCCAGCAAATGAGGAAAAGGTCAACAGGCTCCGTTTTAGCAAAGATGTGTTCAGTAAAATGCCAGGTGGCTTATCATTTGTTTAATTTAATGGTCGGTGTGGGCAATATATAGTCTTTGGTAATACTTAATCCAGTCGATAGGAAGCATACTTTCATAATTTGTATGTATTTATAACTCAACATTATATGAATGGCTATTTTAAACCCACCCGTACAGCACCGTCAGTCTAATGTGAAAGTGAAGCTGGGCTCTAAATGAAAAGCATATTAATCGAGTTACACAGTTTTGGAAGAAGGATCTCCTGTAAAAAGATTCCTCATAAACTTTGTCTTCTTACAAGGTGAATATTAGCCTGGTTACTATTAGCTTTAAACTGCATAGCTAATGAAAAGCAATAGGAAATTTGGCCACCCGTTAGCATTAAATTGACTGTTTGGTAAATCCACAGCAGTGTGGAGATTGATTAGCTGCTGCTCGGAAGTCTCGTGCTACGTGTGGGTGCCTGTTCTTGGGAGTAGCGTGTAGCTTTTTTTGCTCTGTTCCGTCACTGTCGTTTTGGGGGAGCACACCTGTCATAACCGCATGCAACATCTTTGAAACAGATCCTGGCTGATGGAAAATTAAGACCCATCAGGGCTGTGGGTGGTGTCTTTAAATGCATGTCGACCTTTATTCGGATTTAGTGAATTAATTATGATTTCCTCCCCTGCAGACTCATTACTAGAATATATCACTGTTTGTGGTTCACATGCAGAGATGATTTGCAGGAGACAGTGATTAACCTGCCAGTTCCTGTTGAATGTTTAAGACAATCTCAAGTTAATTTGATGGTCCATACACTGTCAGTTTGCCTTTGGTACAGGGACTGGATTGGAAAGATGAGTAATCTTTAATGTCAGTGAATCAGACAGCAAATTTTGTTAATTGCTTTTCCAGTGTGTGTTTATTTGTTTTAAGCAATTTAATATACTGTTGATCCCGATTTCCCAGGAAAGCAGTGCCATTTTATGGAAGAAAGTGTTCTTAAGTGTGTGATATCTGGCCATGTCTGATCAGCTCACATTGATCTTGAGAAAAGACTTTTTTAGAAAGAGAGCATGGATTTTAGCTCCAAGACAGTCTGACTTTTGAAATTGGCGACTAACAGAATGATGCTAAATAAAGCTTATCTGGGACTGTTAGCATTCGCTCCAGATTCGACATGCGCCAGTGTTTCCCAGCAGGGCTTGAAGCCCAGTAGATGAGTTGGTAACAATCTGGCTCATCAGAAAGAGACGAGTACCTATCGATTGATTTGATTTGATTTGATTTGATTTGAATAGAATCTTCAACCAATTCAATAGATTGTTTGAAGCTGCTAATGTGTGCAAAACGTCAGCTAGTTCAGGACAAAGAGGAGGGACGGAATCTCCATGATGATGAGGAAGTAGCTGGTCACTGTGAACATGACTGCCGCTGCTGAATCTCGGAGCAGCGACCCTGTGTTATGCTCTTGTGTAGCGATTGAAATGATGCCTGTTAAAATACCTATTGGTACCTGCAGAGATTCACTGGCTTTTAAATTGCAGAAAAGACGCATCCAGCTGCGGATTATTTGTTTGTTCGTCATAAAACATATTTTTGTCACGCTCCTTCCGCTGTGCTTTAATCTCCAGCCCCACCTGCGGGGGTGCCCTCTGGTGTCGCTTCACGGCTTATTTGTTAAGGAGATTAACTTTAAATCTCCCTCTGACTCCGCTGACTTCTGTGGCGGGCAGGGTTGGGGTTCTGCTGTCGGTCCCCGTCCGCCCTGCTCTCCCAGCACTGGAGTGTTTGCATTGCAGGGTGTGTCTGTTCCCAGAAGCTGTAACCTGGGTAACCGCTCGCTGCACCTGGGTCCACGCCATTGCCGACTGGCCGTCCACCTGAAACACGCCAGGCTGCTCTGTGGCTGCATGAGCTGGAATACCTTTATATAGTTGTGTAATTAAAATTCAGGCAGTGGTGTGTGGTTAAATGTATATTCCCTGATTAGGGTGGTGTGTGACTATGTGGATTTGGATTCTGTGTCCTTGTGATGAGAAGGTCATGGGTTTGAATCCCAGA